GACTGCGGTGGGGGCTAGGGAAAGGGGACACTGAGAAGGTATATCACATTGGATGGGGTTGTTACCTAAGGAGTTTCCTCAGTGCACTGCCAAATTTCCAAGGGGAAACTTTATTGAAGGAGATAAAAAATGAGCAAACAAGTCAAGAGCAGAGATGATCATAAACAGGTTAGAAAGTAGAGTTCACGATGCAGTCAGATGAGAGGGTTCAAGAGTAGATCACAAACAAAGCAAGGGTTCCAGAAACTCTCATGTATCAGGTATAGACAAGGACGTACAGGCACACCTCAGAGATACTACAGGTTCAGCTTCAGACCACTGCAATAAAGCGATGATCGCAATAGAGCGAGTTACACAAAGTTCTGTTTACGTTATGTTGTTGGTGCCATTGAGTCAGCTCCGACTCATAGTGACCTGTGTACAACAGAATGAAACAATGCCCGGTCCTGTGCCAGACTCGTAATCCTTGCTATACTCAAGCCTACCATTGTAACCACTGTGTCAGTCCATCTTGTTGAGGGCCTTCCCCTTTTTTGTTGACCTTCCACTTTACCAAGCATGCTATCTTTCTCCATGAAAGTAAGTTTACACTATACTTATAGTCTATTAAAGGAGCTGTGGTGGCAGAGTGGATAAGACATTTGGCTGCTAACCAGAAGGTCAGTTGTTCAAACCCACCAGACGCTCTGCAGAAGGAAGATGGGGCAATCTACTTCTGCAAAAATTTCCTGCCTCAGAAACCCAAGGGGGGGTTGCTATGAGTTGGAATCAACTCAATAGCAGTGAATTTTTAAGTGCATAGCAGCATTATGAAAAAGTTTGACTAAGAATTACTAAAATGTAAATAAAAATAAAAAACATTACTAAAATGTGACACAAACACAAAATGAGCACATGCTGTTGGAAAAATGACACCAACAGACTTGCTTAAGGCAGGGTTGCCACAAACTTCAATTCATGGAAAACGCAGTATCTGTGAAGTATAGTAAAGCAAAATGCAATAAAATGAGGGATAACTGCATAGGGGTCACTGGCTGATGGAAGAACACTGAGCTGGGACCAAACCCCTTTAGATTCCTACCTGGGGAAAGCAAGTGAGACATATTAAAACATAAAAATACACAACTTCACCGACATCAAA